ACTTCGAGGGAACGAGGCCACAAGAGCTCCAATCATGGAGGCCAGCAGGCCAAGGAACTCTGGGTTTGTCCGGTCTTCTCGATTCGCAAAGGAGTGTCGGAATGTCGGTTCGTGCGGAAACGGCGCGAGGGGGTGGATGTAGGTGAAGAAGTCATCGACCAACAGCTCGAGTATAGGCATCGGGGCAATGGCTTCGGCGTCGAGACGGGCAGGTCCCTCTGCTATCGAGACCAGAGCTTGCGCAGCATTATGCGGAGACGGTGTCGGGTTCGCGGGGCCGTATGCAGGAATGGTATTGCCAGGCTCGAGGCGCTGCCTTCGAGCAGCTCGAGCAGCTTCGGCGTGCTTGTTTGGGGGCCCACGTCTCTTCAGCTCGCGATTGAAAGTGCAGTCGACGTTCAACTCCCGGCATGGCCTACAAGGTGGGCCCGCCTCGTCGCACTTGACCTTGCGCTGGGAGCACATGTCACATGCTCGTCGTAGGCGCGTCAACTTCGGGTTTACTGTGGGATCGCGGGGTAGAGCAGGCATCGAGCCGGGCAAGGGTGGCATCGGAGCGAAACCAGGGAAGCCGGGAACAGCGCCTTGAGGAACGGTGCCGAGGGAGGCATCGGCTGCAATGGGGGACGGAGAGGGCCCTGGAGCGGTGGTCGTGACGGTCTGGGGTGTCTGTTGAAGCTGGGGAGCGTGCGGCTGCGACGGCGTCTGAGGCTGCTGCTGCTGCTGTTGCTGTTGCTGCTGCTGCTGCACCTGTTGATGGTGATCTGGGCCCGAGGTCATGGACAGCTGCTGGTCGACGGCTTGCTGGTCCTGCTGCTCGCCGTCGGCAACAGCGACAGCAGAGCTCAGGTGTTGCTGGACATTCTGAAGAGCAGCGGCAGCAGCAGCGTCGGAAGCTGCTTGGAGGACTTGGAGACCATTGCTGGCGTAGGCATGAGCCGTGGCCTGAGCCTGGGCTTGGGCTTGGGCTTGGGCTTGTTGAGCTGCAGTCGGGGATGCGGGGGCTTCGATTTGCGACGGCGAGGGCGGTGACTGTGGCTGGTCGTTTGTCGAGGACATGACGACGAGGAAAAGAGACCCGCGATGGCCCCCTTGGATCTTATCGGACTGGTCTGCGTGCGTGGGTGATGGATGGGTGATTGTCGGAGAAGCTCCGGCTCGGGAGGGGAGGGCGGGTTTGCTGTCTGCAGAGGTCCATTCACTGTGGGCGGGCAAGGCGACACTGGAGGGGATGCCACGAGTCGACGCGAGGGCGGAGGCGGTGAGAGACGCATCATGACTAATCAAGCCATACATTCTGCCGACCTCTTTCGGTCTAGCCTCAGTGGGGCCATGTCAACGTCTCCACTCTGGTTCTGACACCCGGATGGGCAGCACAGTGAAGGGAGAAGGAACACTGAAGCAGCTCGGTCTTTCCTCAACGTATTAGGAGTAAATCTACGTACGCTTTACAGAAACACTTCTCTTCACTTTCCTACCTATATGCCACAATAACCGCATCACTCAAACAGATGCTCAATCATCTTGGTCATGTCCAGCAGCGACTGGTCGTACGGAACGAAGCCCTGGCCGACCGCCTTCAGCGCCTTGGACCCGTCAAAATCCAGCGGCCCCGGCGCCTTGAAGCCCGGCAGATATCCCTCGCCGGGCTTGCCCTCCTTGATGGGGAGCCCGGGGTACGCTGGGCGAAGAATATCCGCTGCCGCCTGCGGAGGTCCCCAGCATGTCGACGAGATGTATCTTTCCCCGTCCGCTTCATCGGCCCTCTCCACGGCAAAGAGAATCAACTTGGCAACGTCGCGAACATCCACGTACCAACCGTACCCGTACGGCGGATCAATGATCTCTGCGCCCGACATGATACGCCAGACGTACCGCGCGGAATCCACAATCTTTTCAGGCGTCTCCGGGGGTGTGAGAGGCGGGCCAGTCACGTAGCTACGTTATTGCTGTCAGCAGGCGTGCTTGGATCGGCTGGGCTTGGGCTTACACAGGGTTCAGAGCCGTCATCGTGAATGAGGGCTTCCTCTCCTCCCGGAACTTCCAGAATTCTCTCTCGCCAATCACCTTGCTGGCCAGGTAGATGAACGCGCCCGGGGTCTTGGCTCCGAGCTGCTCGAATGCCTCGACCGCAGCGTCGTTCCAGTCCTTCTCTGTGAAGGTGTATGGGCCTTCTTTGTTGGAGCCGACGGCGCCAGCCGATGACAACAAGATCACACTCCTGACGGAAGGTGACTTGGACGCCGACTCGAGAATGCCAATCGTCGATCCCTTGACGAGCGCCATGATTGGCGCAGGATCAGGGATGTCGAATGTCGCTGGCTGCGCGAGATGCACGATGCCATGGACGCCTTTGACTGCCTCGTCGAAGGCACCTGCCGCCGCGATGTCTGGTACCTCAATCACTTCCAGCTTGTCGGCGCCATACTGGGACAGCGCTTCAACGACGGCATTGGCCGAGGCTTTTGCTCGTACGGTCCCGCGAATGGAGTAGCCTGCTTGTAAGAAGGCCTCCGCCGCTCGCGCGGCGATGAAGCCATTGAGGCCACTCAAAAGAATTATTCCCTTGGACATGGTGACTGTCAAGAATGCGGCTGGTTGAGGGGACGCAAAGGTCTGCTATCGCAGATTATGTGCCAACAAGCTGTCTACGATGCGAGCTCGCGAGCTCACGATCTTATACGATGTGACGCTGTGGCCTTTCACGAGATCTCGCGTGAGATATCCGTGCGGATCAGAGACTAGCACCGAGGCGTGCAGTAGTTCGCGATGAAGATGACAAGACTAACCCCCCGAAAACCCGCCGAAATGGACATCCTTCGTAACATGTAAGACTTGACGCCCGGCGTGCGAGGCGGCGGTCGCCTGCAGATGAATATTCGCTGCAGTCTTCCGAGGGCGCCAATCAGATCTCGGCGATGCGCCTCGAGCTGAACACTGTCCGTGAACCGGGACCTCGGCCGAAATGGCGGCCCCGCGTGCTTTCGTCTTTGCGCCGTTAGAGACCGCACGGGTGTAAGAACTGGAGCAAGTCTACTGGTAGTGCTGACATCCGACGCCGAAGTGTTGGACGCCGCAGCGGCCGTGTGAGGTGAGTCAATGCCAGACCCGGGTTGCCGGGCTACCGCCGGCTGGCCCGTCACAAACAACGCCGGCAGGTTCAGCCAGTATGGATTATCTCGGAACATCCCGCCGCATGGCTTTGATGAATGAGAAGTGATGTAGGCACCAGGTTTTCTGATTGGGGCGATTTTCTCCTGGTCTAATCCGACGTGTCCCAACAAGTCTCATGACTTTTGGTGACCCTCGCTTAACAGCAACAATACTCGGCTATTATATTGTCGGCCCTCCTCGCCGTGCTGTCTCCCCTTTTGATCTGGCTGAATGCCGGCCTACCTCAATATGTGCCTATCCATGGACCGTCCCGGCGAACAAGCCCCAGGCTTTGCTGCTCCGCAAGATAGACTATCCACTACTGCACTCGAATCGATTGCCCAAAAGCCGCCAAGATGCCGTCATTTGAGGCTCAATGACGGCTAAGACACTGCCGTCGTCGATGATATAGCTAATTGGAATGTCCAAATATCGATTCTGGAGTGTTCTCCTTCTACCGTTCTGTCTCCTCAATGTTCTCCTCACACAAGCGGCACCAGTCGTTCCGATTTCTCGTTCCCAAAGCGTCTCGACGTAGCAATCGGGCTCCCACAGAAGGTCTCCCACGGTTTTCCCTCAACAAACCAGTCCGACATTGGCAAGTCGCAACCGGCTGCCCTCTTCTCTCAGCTCACGGTTGGGCCACTTCGTACAACTCAATATCGGGTTTACCAATGGGCAAGACCAAGGTTGGATCGAGTTCATATATCCTCCAGCCGCCCCCTGTTACCCCACCTTTGCGCCGTCGACGTGAGTGGTTCGCCTCTACTTACCTTCTGTCAGAAGAAAGAGTGTGCCGTCCATGTGTGGTGGAATCATCCGTGGTCAGCCGGGACTAAATCAATTTGCCGGTTTCTTAGGGGAATTACCCCAGATCAGGGTAGCATCCGTAACCACACCTAATTAAGGCTGAAGCCACAAGACAACCTCACCCCCTTCGATGTTCAGATAAGGCTAACCTAGAATTCTCGAGGTTGTTAGATAGGCGAAGGAAACATTTCGTGAGCTTCTCAAAGCGAATACTGGAAAGATGCCAGCATGCAGGAACGACTTTCTTCGATCACGCCTTACATATGTTCGACCCAACAACCACGGTGTCGCGAACGATGAACCTAGGGCTCCATGTGCAAGATTGAGTTCCGCCTCATGAACCAACAAGCAGGGTGACAACGGATGCTGAGTTCTTTTAGTGGAATCGCAAAGTCCCAAGTATTAGCCAAGGGGCACACAACGTAGGTGTACCTACTTACCTATCCATAACCGCTCTCTGTTGATAACCCCGCGATTTCCGGAACCATACCCCTGCTGCTTGAGCATTCCACAAGCCCAGCTGATACGGGCTTTCCGCGACAGGACACTGAGCTTATTTGACCTACGCCGTGAGAAGAATATCCACATGCCCAGACACTTGGCAACAGAGGCTTGTTCGTTATTGGCACCGAAAATCCCAGCACTAGCAAAGCTTGGCCCCCGAGGCTCTCCATCTCCACGCCGATCATAAGGACGCGGCAAGACCAAGTAGTCGTTTCGTTGGTGAAAACTTCTCCCGTATTCACAAAGAATAGTCGTGTAAAGCGACGATATTGTAGTTGGAGTTGAGGCCGAACGCTTCCCTGGTTCCATGATGTCTAGGTGAACGAACTCAGTCAGTCCTCTTAGTACCATCGGATATACACCATCACATACGGCTTTCGGTTCCGTCCACCCAACCCCCTATCGTCAGTCGATACCACCTCGTACCTTTTGCTCTGTAGCTACACTTTGCCTCCCCCGCACCTCTCCGTTGCCCGGATCAAATGATGCTTAAATTGCCATCCCGGATTGGTGAATATCTTACCATCCTCGTGATGGCCGTCCCGGGTTGCGGTCCCTCGGTGCCTGGCGCCTTTCCTTTTGGGATCAAGGCAAACTCCGCGTGGTACTATCTTGTCGGATCTGAATTCGTGGTAGCCGACGGATGGACCCCTCCGTGGAACTACTGCGGATTCCCGTGCTATGATACCCTCACTTCCACGAAAGGGAGCCGTCGGCGACTGGGGATGATCATCTTCCTTCGGAGTCTGGACCTCCTTGGCTCACAATGTGCCAAGATCTACCGCGGACCAGAGGGAAATATAAGAGGCCATCAACAGTCCTCGACGTCAGGAACATCTACCGCTGACCTCGTCCTCAACCATTCACTCTCTATTCTTTCGCAACATCACAAGATGCGTTCTCTCTCTGTTCTCCTCGCGGCCATCACCGCTGTCTCCGCGCAGCAGGCCGGCACCCAGCAGACCGAAACCCACCCCAAGCTGACCTGGCAGAAGTGCACCAGCTCCAGCTGCACCAACCAGAACGGTGAGGTCGTCATCGACTCTAACTGGCGCTGGCTTCATGACAGCTCGGGCGCCAACTGCTACGACGGCAACAAGTGGACCGACAAGTGCAGCACCGCCACCGACTGCGCGTCCAAGTGCGCCCTCGAGGGTGCCGACTACTCCGGAACCTATGGCGCCACGACCTCCGGCAACGCCCTCAGTCTCAAGTTCGTCACGCAGCACGCGTACGGCAAGAATATTGGCTCGCGTCTGTATCTCATGAACAGCGCTACCAAGTACGAGATGTTCACCCTCACCGGCAACGAGCTGGCGTTCGATGTCGACCTTTCTCAGCTTGAGTGCGGCCTGAACGGTACGTCAACAGGACCAACAAACCCGACATTGCTATGTATGTACTGACGCGATGCCTAGGTGCCCTCTACTTCGTCCAGATGGACGAGGACGGTGGCATGGCCAAGTACTCCACCAACAAGGCTGGTGCCAAGTACGGTACTGGATACTGCGACGCCCAGTGCGCTCGCGACCTCAAGTTCGTCGGCGGCAAGGCCAACATCGAGGGCTGGGTTCCCTCTTCCAACGATGCCAACGCTGGTGTCGGTCCGTACGGCGGCTGCTGCGCCGAGATGGACGTCTGGGGTAGGCTTCCTCGACCCGAACAGTCTGAAGGGTGCTAACCACGCGCAGAGTCCAACGCACACTCCTTCGCTGTCACCCCCCACGCGTGCAAGAACAACGCGTACCACGTCTGCGAGAAGAGCGGTTGCGGTGGCACCTACTCCGAGGACCGCTTCGCTGGCGACTGCGATGCCAACGGCTGCGACTTCAACCCGTACCGCATGGGTGTCACCAACTTCTACGGCAAGGGCAAGACCGTTAACACCTCCCAGAAGTTCACGTAAGTATCAATCATGACAGACGAAAGAGAGACATTCACATATACTAAACCTTCCCAAGCGTCGTCACCCAGTTCTCCAACAACAAGGTTGCCCAGTACTTCGTCCAGAACGGCAAGAAGATTGAGATGCCTCAATCCGCCATCAGCGGCGTCACTGGCAACGCCGTGACCCCGGAGTTCTGCACCAACCAAATGAAGGCCTTTGGCGACCGCGACCGCTTCTCCGAGGTTGGAGGCTTCTCCCAGATGAACTCCGCCTTCAGCGGCAAGTGGGTGCTGGTTATGTCCATCTGGGACGACCACTACGCCAACATGCTCTGGCTCGACTCCGTCTACCCTCCCGAGAAGGCCGGCCAGCCCGGTGCGGCCAGAGGCGACTGCCCCACGACCTCCGGTGTTCCCGCCGATGTCGAAAACAGCCTTGCCAGCGTAAGTCTCCCTTCGAAAGGCATTTTGGCTGAGTCCGTGCTAACAATTCGTGCTCGCAGGCTACCGTCACCTACTCCAACATCCGCTTCGGCCCCATCGGCTCTACTGTCAAATAAGTGCGGGCTGATCCGTCTTCTTGGCGAGATTACCCCTGAGATTGTCCCTGGGATTCTTGTCTGCTGCGCTGTTCGGGTGTGTTTGCGGGGGTCGATGCCCAGGAAAAAGCCTGGCATGATCGATAACGCGGTCGTGCGGGTGCGGGACGCGGTTTTCTTTTCGAAAGTTGCACATATTTTTATCGAATCGGTGTACATAAGTCATTAACGCTCGTTTCCTGAATGTGCTTCGCCCAAACGTGAGAAGAACCTCTTCAATGGAATGGCTGACATTGGCGTCCGAGACAGACTATTGTTAGTGTCCGCTGTGTTAGCGACATTACCTTAAAGAAACCTCCCTTGCTTCGGTGAGAGGCTCCCCACTGAGAAGTGACCATTTCAATGGGTACTCGGCACATCCCTGGCCCCGGGGGCTGGCTGAGAAAAGAGTCAAGAAATGACAACGAACGCACGTGTCTTGGGTGATACAAACTTATAAAGTTGAAGCCATCCCGTCAGTGTCTTACCTTGCCATAGAAAGTCCAGGTCGCGAGCTCATTCGTCTTTGTTCACCAGATATGAGAAGCTCGGCCGAGTCAACTGAGACGGGATACGCCAAATGAATGGTGGCCAGTCGCGGTGAGACTTCCGACGACCACTCATCTCCCTGACAATTCTGAACTCTGGGCCTCTGACGCACCAATAAGCTCCAGCGCACAAATAGGACCCTCACCGGTGAGGTGACGCACGCAAGTTGTCATGGCCCATTGAAAAGGCCCAGCCCCCTGAATGCGACAGGCTCTTCCCTAGGTGACATTTCGTAATTTGCGTCCCTCCGGCTTTCTCCTCGAGCACACAGTCGCTGTACAGGATCATCTTAGCGCTGATTTTTCCATCTAGAAACAGCGATGATACGCGTAAACAACGGCACAAGAGGTCCTGATTCGCGCGTTGGAAGGCGAACGGACACAGTGAACCGGAAGGAACTTCGCCCTGAACGTCCCCGGGTCTGAGCAGAGGATTGCCTGTTTATAGGGCAGGATTAAGGGCAGGATTACACAATGCAGATACATGTCATTGCCCAACTGTAGGTGTACATGGCACAGTGTCTGATCATCAAGACAACAATAAGGTAGTACTTTGGTCCAGACCAAGGTCGAGTTCTAAATCTTCGGAGCCGACGGGATGATAATGTAATGATATGTTTCGCGGAACGGAACGTCCTTTGAAGGAATGTCAAGGGCGACCATGAGTCGCCCTTGCCAAATGCGATGTTTTCTGATGAGCCGAGAGAATTACTTTGAGTCTAGTCGTGTTTTTGTTTCGGGGGTGGGCAGACAAACCTCGGCCTGGTCCACATCCCTCAAGTACCGACCTGTTGGGGGTCATTCACTCGGACAAATATCAGACAATGCAGGATGTTTTTGCCAATGAAAGGACTGAAAAGATGGCTCGGTGCTCCCATTCAGATCTTATCTTTCCAGTTGGTTGCAGCCCCAGCTTGGCTTTGCGTCTCTAGTGCTCTACTTTCAAGTCAGGAGACGCCAGTGATGAGGACACACGCCGCAGCATCCCGGCATTCCCTTACCAAACAAAGCCATGCCGGAATCCTGCACTGCGAAGGAGGAGCACTCCGCGGCTCTGAATGACCAGAATCGCTCTGCACGTCGCCAAAAACATGAGAAATTCTGATCTGTATCATAAATCGCTTGCCTCCTCTAAAGCTCCTGGCTGTTGCATCATTGCTGCCCCTGTATCGAAGCCTACCATGGCTTGCCACTCGCGAATTCACGATCGTGGGCAGGAGGGCTTGGCCCAAAAGGTCTTCAGGCATGTGTAGACCAACGTGTTTCTATCGTCAGGAACCAACAGCGCTTAGCCACCAACTTTCTTCCCTGCATCCAAAGTCGACGACCAAAACAGACAAAGACCTGGAACTCCGTTGGGGGCTCTTGGCATTCCATCATCTCAGATGAGCTCGCAAGAAGATCCCGTGCGCTCAGATTCTGAGGACCAAACGAAGGGCCAGTCGACGCCGGGCTTGAGACGATTGCTACCAGCAGCAGCCAGCACTGCTGGGCCCAGCGGGGGACCAACCAGCGCATCTCCGGACTACTCAATCAGACCGCTCCGGCACCAAGTCCCGGCAGCTTGTCTGCAATGCCGGAAGCGAAAGGTCAAGGTCTGTAGGATCTTCTTCTAGATCATTCCGAGCTCAGATCCCGCTTCCCCAGAGAAGTATGATTTGGACAGCCCCCTGGACCAGTCGCTCGTCAGGTCTTGGTTGGCTCGTTTGACTCAGGAGCGTGGCAGATCTTGCTGGGAGCCAAATCAGCTCCAACTGTGGAAATGCTCCCAACGAGTGGGGAATCTGGTGCATCTTTGATCATCCTCATTCAATCCCATTCCAGGAGTTTCCGTGCCTGTCATCAATGATCTGGCACTAGCAGAAATGCTGATATGTGACCTAGTGCTCCGGAGCGAGACCATCGTGCCATCGATGTTTGCAAAACGACGTCGATTGCAAATGGGACACCGAGCCCGACACGTCTCGCCTTGTTTCGATACGCAAGCGCAAGGAAGAACTCGAACGCGAAAATGAGGACCTGCACGAATTCCTGCGCTTCCTCATTTCACGGCCAGAAGAGGAGGCTTTCGAAATCTTCAAACGTCTCCGAGCATCCGGAGACGCGTTGGAGGTGCTCAACTTTGTGCGCACCGCCGATCTCCTCTTGCAGAGACGACAAGTAGGAGACGATGTCAACCAGGAAATCCCCAAGGAAACGGCAGCAGAAAGAGAGGACAACCTTCCCGTGAGCGACTTCAAAGTGCCCGCAAAACCGTGGACTAATCTATCAAACGACATCATCGTCTCAGATCTGATTACCGGCTTCTTCCTTTGGGAAGCGCCCTTCTTCCTCCCCTTCGTGGACCAGCAGACTTTCCTCGACGACATGCGCAGACGTTCCCCAGAGACGGCTACATACTGTTCCCCTCTTCTTGTCAACGCGATATGCGCACTTCGAAGCGTATGTCACGAGTCTTTCGGGGGTTCTGCTGCTGCAGTTTCGCCGTGGAGGCTGTTTCGTAGCTAATCGTTGGGATCTCAAGCATACCTCAGAACGTGCAGAAACCTTCGGACGAGCAAACGGGTGCGATTTGAGGATGCTATTTCTCAACGAAGCCAGGCGACAATGGGAACTCGAACGTGGAGAGGCGCTGTTGACCACCGCCCAGGCTTTGTTCATCATGTACCTGACGACACTGGCATTGGGGATGGAAACTTCGGCCACAGAGTATCAGCTCGCTGCCTGCGATATGGCGCACACCCTACAATCGGAAGTCAAGGGCGGCTTGGGAGCTAAGGAACGAGACGAACGAGCCGCATCAAAGGCTTTGTGGGGAATGTACTGTTTTGAAAGGTTGGCGAACGCTGCTGCCGAGGCGATTCCCGAGCAGGGTCAACTGACAATCTTTGCCCTAGCATTTCCGCCTTCTCCTATCTTCGACCATCCGCCCTTTCAAAACCTCCCATCTTTCGGCATTTCTTTGACGGGGCTACCCGTCACGCTGCAAAACTCCGGGGTGAAGAATGTCGAGTCGCGACGATCCGAAATGCGATGATCCTAGAAGCGACGTGTGACTTATCTGCGACGTTCAACGACATAATGGAATACAACTGTGGCATGACCGAGTATCAAATGAACATTGATGACGACTTTCGAATACGGCGCCAGTTTGCCACGTTGCTCTCGCAGCTAGGCTCGGAAAATCACAAGCTGGGGTCTAAAGAAGATTTCGATTTACACGGCTTGTGCTTTAGGTGGGAACTTCTACTGCCCGATTCAGTCAGCTTGTTGCACTCTCAGCTAATGCATAGAAGAGCCTACGAATGCCAAGTAGCCTTGGCCATCCTGCGTCCTCTAAAGCCAGAAACACCGTTCCCTGCCGATGACACCGTCGCCGACCTCCTGTTTGCGCAATGCGAGCGCAGTATCGAGGGCATCGAAGACCACGATCGCGCTTCTTCTGTTAGGAACGGTTCGCCGATGATACTGCACTTCCTTTTCAACATCGCTGTCACTCTTGCTGGGATCTTAAGGCACTTAGGGTCGCGGAACCTATTTGCTAGGACGTGTCGGTTGATACGAGATCGCACACATTACTTCCCGCTTGCGTGGCAAATATTACGAGGTCTTTCGATAATTGCGATGAATGGCGAAGACCATATACCCGAGGCTGCAAAATCATCGTTCGAGGGGTTATTGCAGCTGGACGAGAGTATGTCGGAAGATGTGCCAATCAGCTTTCGCGTACCTTCGCGCAGGGTCTCAGAAGGGGTGAGGGGCCATGCAGAACATGGGGTTCGGCTAAGCGACTTGACTTCGAGGATGCAGAGTCGGAAGCCTGCTCACGGTGGTGGGGGCCCAGCATGAGGAGGTGTCGGTAAGAACAACATCACAACGATGCAAAAGCAATTGCTGTGATATCAACCCTGCTGCAGCATTTCTGTCTGCACTCATGGTAGGCCTGTTCAACTGTGATATCCCATCATCACACCGAGATAGCTTAAGCTAGAACAAATCATCTGCAATCAGCACGGCACGTGGCACATTGACATGAATGTTTCTGGGCCGCCTTGCAAGCCCATGTCAAGACCATGACCATACTGATCTCTCGACCTGGCGTAGCGCCAACAGGCACGGAATCCGCATACTTCGATTATTCACTAAACCATATACGAGTATCGACGCCATCGACGCATCAAGCGCCGGCCTTGATGCCCCTGTCCACTGAGCTGCGGGCCCTATATCCGGACCCAGTAGGCGACAACACATTGTCCATAAGAGGTAAATGTTTCGTGAACAGCCGCATGGGCTGGGACAAATGACATCATAGCTTATTGGATGGAGACCTCGGACTCGTACTCTGTAAACCCATAACACCTCCGAGTATCCGATATGCTGTGCAGAGGGATCTGTTGCCAAAGCAGGGGCGGACTGGTGTGGGGCCGGCGAACATCCGCGTTCTGTGGGCACGACACCCGAGTCAGTCCGAGTTGCTCGGGACCGGGCCCGGCTGCATGTCTCACGGCTACCACGCCAGCCTCCTCGTGAAGACCAATCAAAGAGCATAATTGAGCATCCGAGGAGGGATGCACAACTGATAGACGAAAGCAGTGGGACTTAACTCAAAGAACGGCGTTCTCAGCGTAGCTTACTTCCAATTCGGACAGGTGGCTCGCTGGTGACTTGAGGCTGCAGCACAGGTCTAGTCGGAATAACAGAGTGGTCCGCGGAGAGGTCGCTCCGGTTAGTGCCTTGACTTTCATGCACCAATACCAACACAGTTTGAGCTGAGCAGCACCAACTAAAAACTGCCTGATGTGTTCCTGTATCTACATGAGGACATGTATACAAAAAACCAACCATTTCTAGTCGACGACAGCAGACCTGCAGAGCAGCCAACAGATTCTGCTACAAGTTGCAAGACAGCGACATGAATTTGCCTGTTCTCATTGTTTTCAACCCTGCCATCTCCGAAATTATTTCGAGGTGACTGTGGTGATCCGGACGATTATTCCAATCGTTGTCCCACGCGGGGAACGTCCTCGCAGCAGAAACATGGTTACCTTTCAGGACAACGAATACGTAATTTTGTTGAGGTACAATGAAAGTATGAGTACACAAATGAGTGTCAAGTGTCGAAAACATCTTGCCAACCCGGCAACATGAAGAATAAGGTTCAGAACAGACTTGACAATTGAGAAGTTTCCGGTTGTCATCCTTCATTGACTGGAATGGCCTCGGTCCTGAATTCCTCATTGTAAACTGGGAACTTACCAGTCGGTTGAGGCCTCAAGCTTGTAGATGGGTCACTGAAACAAGATTGAAAGGAAGCTTGTTTGCAGCAATCAACGCCGGCCTTCTTCCGCTGTCAGTTGCTTGGCTCGCTTGTCGACCAAACTCCAGTCTTGAGATTTGCTTGGCGGCAAGGAGGCATCCGTAATTATTCACTCAACCATAACAATTATTGTCTGATCGACCATTTCTGTCAAAGAATACAGTGCTGGCGTGAACTTGAATGCGGCAGGTGGTCACAACCCGAATGACCCCACAGGATCGTATAGACCAGCGGGAACCTACAAGCCTTTACTACCCGCCCCAACCCAGATTATCCCCCAAATCATCTTGAGGCCTGAATGTCCCATCAGGCCGCTCAGGCAGCCAGTCCAAGCTGCCTGTTTACGATGTCGAAAGAGGAAATTGAGAGTATGTCGCCTCTATAATAACACTGCGGTAGATTGGGAGACATCTTTGAGTCACTCAACGAAAGAATCGTCACCCGAACACACTAACAGGAGCCAGTTGCCTCGCTATTAAGGTCGAGTACCAGACAGGATCATGGTGTTCAGCTGGGTATCCAACTATACCAGCAGCACTATCAGAGATTATTGCGCCAATGGCTCCCATCTGCGACCGACTTACCCCATCAACATAGCAATCTGCCTTAGAACAACATCGACTATTGCTTTTGCTGACATCCTGCTCTCTTGATCACAGTGCACTGGCACTCGGCCAACTTGCTTCCGGTGCTCCATTCAGGGAGGCGACTGCGAATAGGACACCGAACGGGCTATGTCTCGCCTGGACACGCTCCGAAAACGATATGAGCGGTTCGAAGAGGAGAATGAGGATTTGCGCGAACTTATACGTTACTTATGCGCTCGACCGCTAGAAGAGTCTGTCGAAATTTTGAACCGACTGCGATCCGATTCACGTACTCGAGCTGGTTCAAACGAGCGACATGTTGTTAGGCAAGACATCTCTGTCCGGAAACCCACATCTCGAAACCGCCGGATAAATCGTCGTCAAAATAGCTAACCTAGGCTGCTAGCGGATAGGCACAGGAGAAAGACTACCCTGCCTGTTACTAGTCCTTCCAAAACCTGCGGATATAGACGACCAGGGGGGGGGGGGGGGGGGGGGGGGAAAATNGGGGGGGGGGGGGGGGGGGGGGGGGGGGGGGGGGGGGGGGTTGAACATTGTGGTCTTCAAATTGCAACGATATCTTTGGGTTAAGAGAAGAAACCTGTGAACTATTGCTTGCTTGTACGCCGAAGGCTTGCGAAAAAGCTTGGAATTATGGGGAGGCATCAGCAGGTCCAAGATCAGCAGAAAATCTGGCTCCGTCGCAAGAAATCTAAGGTGGTCCAGTCCCTCGCGAGACTATGGCTGTGATTCTACACATACTTGTGGATGCTTTATTAACACTATCTCCAATTGGAAGGTACCACATTTATTTCACCCTCCAACGTTTGACGAGAGATTTATCATAGCGTGAAATACACATGACTTTTATAACGTCCAAATCTTCAGCCACAAACACAACTGCGAAGGGTCACCAGCCAACACCCGTACTGCCGCAGTGGCAGGTTCATCGAACAGTGCACTCTACCTTACCTAGTAGGCAATGTTTTCATCCATCAAGTCCAGAAGGGGGAGTTAAGAAGACTAACACCACCCTCAAACGTTAGATTTTCCGTAACGGCTGAGATTTACATAATGATTTGTGGCCTATGGTGGTGACGTACTGTTTACGCATGTATCAACAATCCAGTCCACTCTCAGCGATGAGCCTGGCAACAGCAGCATGCTAGTCCAAAAGCTCAGCTCAAGTTGACAAGAGCAATGCAATCTTCTACCTGATCACTGGCTAATTGATGGCACAGCAAATCTAGGTGGTCTGTAGAGAGGCATCGGAGACTGATAGACCGAGGCGTCCGCCGCGGCATGCTCGCCTAAAGGTTTAGCCGCGGCACTCTATCTCCCCTCGCCAGATTCTCGAGCTGCACCTTGTCATGCAACCCCGCGACGTAATGCCCCAACGACAATACCTTCTCGTCGGTATATGTTCAGAGGTCTTCACAGTCTAAGCCCATGTTGTCATTACCATGAGAGTGTTCACCACAAGGATCAATCGATCAATCATGTCTCAAACGAAACCCCGCATCCTGTTCTTCAACCCTGTTCGCCACGCAGTGGCAGAATACGAGGCCCTAAAGACCGTTGCTACCCCCGAGGTAGTCACGAGCAAGTCACGGGCGGAATTCTTCAGCGATCTGAAAAGCAAGTATCAGGACATTCAGGCTATATGGAGAACATCTGCCAGTGGGGCTGTAAGTTCTCTCGATCATATCGGGCTGTCCCTTCACCTGACTTTGGGTAGGTTGCTGGAAAGTTTGACGAAGAATTCGTCAGTCAACTCCCACCTTCGCTCAAGTATATCTGCCACACCGGCGCTGGCTATGACCAGATCGATGTAGACGCTTGCTCTAAGCGCAAGATCACCGTCACTTACGCGCCTGACCCGGTCACCAACGCGACTGCTGATTTGACCATCTTCCTTCTTCTTGGGGCCCTCCGCCAAGTGAATCCCGGCTTAAGCAACTTGCGAAGGGGAGACTTCAAGAAGGGTCTTGACTTTGGCCATGATCCCCAGGGCAAGACACTGGGCATCCTCGGAATGGGTCGCATTGGGCGTGCAGTCAAGCGTCGGGCGGAGCCGTTCGGCCTCAACGCCATCTACCATAACCGCAAGCCACTCTCAGACGAGCTCGCTGCAGGAACCCCTTACGTCTCATTCGACGAGCTTCTCCGCACGAGCGACATCATTTCTGTTCATGTTCCTCTCTCAGCAGCGACTACCCATCTAATTGGGCCGGAGGAGATTGCCAAGATGAAGCCCGGTGTGGTGATTATCAACACTGCTCGAGGTGCAGTCATTGACGAAGCTGCCATGGCCGCCGCGCTTGACGAGGGCCATGTTGCTGCTGTCGGATTGGATGTTTACGAGAAGGAGCCCATTGTTGATGAGCGATTGGTCAAGAACGAGCGCGCACTACTCGTGCCTCACATGGGAACACACACTCATGAGACCCTGAAGCAGATGGAATTGCTGGGTATGGAGAACGCTAGGCGGGGTGTGTGCGGGGAAGAGCTGTTGACGATTGTTCCCGAGCAACTTGGCGCTTGAATGCATTAGACGCATCAACTCAATTGACCCCTTGCCTCAGAATTGAGATGACATTTGGTCCCTGAAGTGACGTAGTTGTCCCATGCTTCATTTTTGGTGCCGTCCGCGTCGTCTGTGGGCCCTGCACCAGAAGCCTCTGTGCGACTTGGCCGCGGGCTTCCCTTTGTCCGCGGGTGAAGTATTAAGCGATCACAAGCCCTCCATCTCCATGTTTATCCCGCGTATGCTCCCCAACCCCAAATCTTGGTCGTCTTACGCCAGATACGCCAATAACCCAATAACCGATCTCGGCTGCCATTATCCGACAACTGCGATGCCGGACCCAAGACTCAAGAATAATCAAATGTCCAAGACGTGCCGAAGTAGTGGGGCATGCCTTGCTTGCAGGGCCAAGAAACATAAGGTACAGACTCAATTTCCTGCCATATAGCCGAGTGATGCTGACTATCGTTCCAAGTGCAGCGGGGAGAGGTTGGTGATACGGCTTTTGCTGGATCTTGAAGTTTTCACCACGACTAAGCTTGACATGTAGACCAAGATGTGCACAATGTGGCATTAATAACCTTGTCTGCCAGTGGCCTGAACCACGCAAACGGTAGGTCGTCTCATACTTCCAAGGCCGAAATACTAACAGAACTGGAACTCAGAGGCCCCCCAAAACACTACATAAACACCATGGAAAAGCGGCTGCTCGAGACGGAAAATGTTCTTTGTGTCTTGCTGTCGCAGTGCTCAGAGGCGCAGTTGAATTCGGCTTTATCTGAACTCCGCATGCCCAACTCGGGTAATGGGAAAGACACCCGCGCTGCCGAGGCAGCAAGACGAGAAAGGTTTGGTCCTGTATATTGGGCCAAATTTCCTCTCAAATCAGCACAAGATATTAAGCGCTGGGCTGAGGACAAGTCATCGATTTCCGTTGCATCGCCCCGTTCAGAGTCGATTCAAGTCGCTGCCAGCCACACACAGGATCTCAACAGCGACGACGAATACCACGACGAATCCACGCAGGCGTTGGACACTCCCCTCAGCCCATTGAATGTAACATCTGCTGTTGTTGAGTCTTCAAGTCCCACCTCAAACCTCTCTGCTGCGACTCCAGATCGCGAGCGGGCGGGCTTTGAGGCCGTTGAGCCAATGGATGGAATGTCGGGGGAAGAGATTCAAGGCATAGGAGGAATGATGTTCGAGAATCACAGGTTGGCAGAACCTCAAAGGAGTGCTCAAGAGTCCTCACAAACTCAACCTTCAGAAAGTTACGAAATTGCCTTTCTTTGGTAGAAATAAATTAAGCACTATGCTCAAGTTTGCGATCGCTGGCTCCGATGGAATATTGTGAATTGTATTAGTACAAAGGCGTTGCGAAACTGTGAACCACTCAATAGCTTTTCCTCAATCACAATTGAGTTTCTCTACGACTTTCATTAGCCCAAGTTCCTCTGACATAAACCTTCCACATTGCAGGTGCTTCTCTTTGGGTTACATGTTACATGACTAGGTACTGTAGTCATTAACGCCGACATCACGGGCCACGGAAGCCCAGGTTTGAGCGTCTTCGCGTGCGGACAAATCTAACCCCGCAACACCCCACCGACAACCGGCTAGGCTGTAAACCGGTCATTTTCACATCTCCTTCTCTCGCTGAATGAGCCACCTTCGGGACCATGATCGCCACAACGCCGTGCAGCCCAATGCAGAAGTCTCCGCCTCGAACATAACTCAAAATCATGCCGGAGATTGGGAGTCTCAGAGCACTTGCCAACGGCGAGAGCCAGTTCGTTGGCAGCTCCTCTGGTGTCTATTTTATCAACACCGTGAGACGAGCGTTTTCCGCACACACCGGCGCAACAGCAGAAGCCGGCCAGCGGACCAATGACGTGGGCGCAGAGCTTCGCGATGATCCATCACCAGAGGATTGTATTGTCGGGGCCGGAGGAGATGATGAGACCGGGCAAGACGAGAATGCGGACAACGCGGGCCCCCATGAATCTCACCCACAGTCGCACGATCACCTCTCCCCGTTTTCTACCGGTTCCGACTTCATCAATGATATGAGCAAACTCCCAGACTATTCCACCGCTAGGAGACTCGTGATGACATACTTCAGAATTTGGCACCCTTTGGTTCCTTTCTTGCAAGGCCCCGAATGCCTCGCCGAGTTAGACGCTCTGTACGACTCTACCGAGCATGACCGACGCAATGTTGCGTCTCTCAGTCGTCTAGTCATCTTCAGGTGCATCTTCAGCATTGCGAGACTAGATAGTGACGTCGCAGTGGACATAGGATCTGCAGGGATCCGATCAAGCTCCGATCTACTACCCACCCTGAGCCTCTTGGCTCTACGGAGCGATGCCTGTTCCATCCAGGCGCTTCTTAGCGCTCAAGTGTACTTTATATCCGTCATGTCTCTTCGACATGCATCATCCGTCGGTGGTCTAATTTCAAAGTCCATATTCCAGTCCGGCATGCATCGCTGCCCCGTTCGATATGGCCACCTATCTCCAGATGAACGATCCATGCGCAAGCGAATTTTCTGGAGCTTTTATGTTCTGGACCGATTTGTGAGCCAGTCTCTAGGCCACCCTAGCGGCATTCAAGACTCAGATATCGATGTATGCCTTCCAGGGCATAGGGATCTTCACGAACCTGTCGCGCAATCCGCACTTTCTCCCGCAAGTGCTGCAGCAGACAACACGATACTACATCTTCCAGCCAACCACCCCGAAAGATGTGCGAAATCTCAAGACAAAGGAGAGTACGATTCAGATTCATCAACAGAAGTGGAAGAAGGGGATCAAAACCCGGCCGGAAGTAGCGAAGCAAACGCCAGTTCAGCCAAAGCTGCGGCCATTCTTCAACACCGTCAAGAGACTCAGAACGTTCTTCAAAACCACGTAAGACATTCGCAGCTGGTTGGACGAGTCCTAGATGTATTTCATAGGTCCATACATGCTCGGGACATGAACAACCAGACGATCCTTTTCCTCAAAGCCGATGTTGCTGCCTGGGGCAACGATCTCACAGAACCACGGCCCGGTCCAACCCTTATGAACATTCCAGAGCTCACTCCAGACCCAACCGTCTTCCCATTCATCACCTATCATTACACTGTCCTTCTACTCAACAGACCGTCACTGTCATTGGACTCAAGATGCGCCGAGTTTCGTGCGGCACTACAAACATGCATCAGTGCCGCTAAGGCCATTGTACCAACCGTCGAGCAGTATCACCAGACCGGAGGACCGTTGTTTTGGCCCGGCTACATGTCTGCTGTCTGGATGAGCGGTCTTGTGCTGGCGCTTTCAGCTCGTGTGAAGTCATACAGTCTCTCTAGAGCCAAGTCGTAAGTCTTGTTCTCAATATTTGTCCTGATCAACTTGACTGACCAGTTCTTAGCGGTATTCGCACTGTCCTCAAGTTGCTGACGGTCATGGAAAACCGATGGCGTATGGCTAAGGACTGCAAAGGAGTTTTGTCTGTGCTGCTGGACAACATTGAGCATAGAGCAAAGGGGCATAAGAGAACTCGCATCGAAGGGGATGACACACCGAGCCCACTTCCGACAAATAGTGATGGAAGTCCACGGACAACGAAACGGCAAATGACACAAGCCCCATCTGCGGGATTTCGTGGGCGTCTAGATCGGGCTAATGGGCGATCCTCTCGATCTTCACATGCGCTCGCACAGAACAGATCAAGGACGCCATTGACCCATTCCGCCCAGCGAAGTGTCAGGTTTCACGACAACCGAAGCGACAACTTCTTTTACAACGTGGAAACCCCGCAACATATTGCCAACTCACACCAACAAATGACCACATTTTCCCCAGGTTTCAGCACGGGAGAGCCGACCCTCTTTGGAACTTCCCAGGACATGAGCTTTCAGAACAACACCTCTAACATGAGCACATATTTCTCACAAATTCCCACGACATTTCCAGATCGACAGAGAACCGCCCAGGGCCAAATGGACCAGTATGGTGACACGGATAACTTTTTCGACATGTTCGACGGAGCAACATGGGGATCTCTTATAGATATTGTAAATGATGCTGGGACTGGGATGTAAATTCAAGCTGCATGAGATCCACCAGAGATACCCGGGGAGTTGACTTTTGACCCGGATCATTGCAGAAGAAAAATCTTCATATCGAGCTATCCTCTTTTCATAACTCATTCTAAGCCCGCACAAAGTCCTCTCCCTTCTTGACGTTGCCTTTCAGCTCGTCCACAGCAATCTTAAGAAGCTTCGTCTCATAATCAGAAAGAGAGCCAATGGGATGAGCAGTCTCAGCACCATTGGCACCGAAGCTCACAGGAACGGCGAAGTACTCAACGCCGAGCTCCTTGGATACGGCATCACCGCCTGGTACACCAGGCAGATACACATATGCGGGCTCTACGATGCCAGTCTGACCTTGGGTTGCCTTGATAATCGCCTGGGCGAATCTACATCATGAGTCAGTCGCATCCGTTTTCCAATATGATTCTGGAAGACACCTACCGGAACCCAGCGTAGGCCATGCATGTGGTTGCAGAGCCAGCACCTGCCTTCGCCTTGACGATTTCATCTCCGCCAAATTGCACTCCTAGGTAGGCATGTCAGTTTCAGTCTTCTTTCTGGCGGTGATTTCCTCACTATGGGTAATGGCTTCAATCTGCTCTTGGCTCAGTTGCACTTTGGGCTCGGACTGGCTGATCAATGGCAGAATTGTCGCACCAGAGTGGCCACCGACAACTGGGACCTTGAGTTGCCGAGGATCGTTTCCGAGGACGTCGGCCACGAACTTAGATCCTCGGACGACATCCAAAGTTGTCACACCGAACAAACGCTGAGGGTTGAAAACGCCGTTATTTTTGAGAACTTCAGCGGCGATAGGAACAGTGCTGTTAACAGGGTTGGTGATGATGCCGACCAAGGCTGTTGGGCAGAACTTTGCGACACCGGTAGCAAGGTCCGCAATGATGCTGGCATTGGTCTTGAAAAGGTCTTGAAAGTGTCAGGTAACTATGAGCAAGTCTATTCGACAAGAAAAACTTACCATCACGAGTCATTCCGGGCTTTCTAGCAATGCCTAATGCCGCCTGTTAGTTTCTTGCAAATGTACTTCGTACGAATGGTGCTTACCGGCCGAGATCAAAACAACCTCTGCACCTGACAGGGCTTTTTGCAGGCCGTCATTTTCAGGCAGGTAGCCCTTGACTGGAGCGGGAGTATCAATGTGGTTTAGGTCAGTTGCCACGCCCACGGCGTGCACGACATCATAAAGCCTGAGGTCTGACACTAGAGGGCTCTATAACACCGTATTGTCAGTCTAAAGACACATAGAGCATGAATCCGTCTTTACGTACCGACTTGAGCAAAAGACTCAATGGCTGGCCAATTTGCCCAGAGGCTCCGAGTACAGCAACTTTGACCATTTTGGATCGAGATTTAATGAAGTTTTGAAAGTGTTACAATGCCAAATAGCGGGTAGATCACGAAGCTTGTGTGCCAGTTTCACGTACTTCTTGGGCATCAGCGCTGTGCTAGTTTGCCTGCCTAGGTACTTGTATAAGTAGCCGAAACATGTAATTTAGCTCGCACACAAAGCCGAAGTTCCATCAAATAATTGACCAACAGGCCCTCGGCTTTTCGGACATGTCAGATGAGTCGTTGAGAGCCGCCACCAGTGACGCCGCTGGCGCAGGACTAAGAACCCGCGGTCAAATATTTAAGCGACCACATCCCCTCATCCCCGAAGTGCAGCGGGCGTAATGCGGCAACAACATTTTCCACGGAAACAACATCCTCCGATATCGTCAAACGGCTCCAATAGTCGTGGCAATTATAAACCGTCATACCGATTTCTTTACGAATAATCCAAAGTCAGATCTACCAGACCCCAGTCACACCCATCACCAACCAACAACAATGGCTCCTCAAACGCTCAAAATCGCCGTTATTCCCGGAGATGGCATCGGCAAGGAAGTCATGCCATGGGGTGTCCGCGCTCTTGAAGCCGCCGCCAAAGTCTTCGGTCTCTCCCTGCAGTTCGAGACCTTCGACTTTGCAAGCTGCGATTATTACGAGAAGCATGGCGAGATGATGCCATCTGACTGGAAAGAAACCCTCCTCAAGTTTGACGCCATCTACTTTGGTGCCGTGGGCATGCCTAGCCAAGTCGCCGACGATGTCTCACTGTGGGGAAGCTTGCTCAAGTTCCGCCGCGAGTTCGACCAGTACATCAACCTCCGCCCGTGCCGCTTGATGCCCGGCGTTAAGTCGCCCCTCGCCAACCGAAAGCCCGGCGATATCGACTTCTGGATCGTGCGTGAGAACACCGAGGGCGAGTACAGTAGCATCGGCGGCAAAATGTTTGAGGGAACCGACAGAGAGACTGTCATCCAGGAGACTGTCATGACCAGAGTGGGCGTCGACAGGGTTCTCCGCTATGCATTCGACCTTGCTCAGAGCAGACCCCGCAAGCGCCTTACCAGTGCTACAAAGAGCAACGGCATCAGCATCACTATGCCCTACTGGGACTCCCGCGTTGCGGAGATGTCCAAGAACTACCCTGATGTCAACCTCGACAAGTACCATATCGACATTTTAACCGCGCACTTTGTCCAACGCCCAAACATTTTCGACGTGGTGGTTGGCAGCAATCTCTTTGGAGATATCCTCTCTGATCTGGGCCCCGCTTGCACGGGTACTATCGGTATTGCTCCCTCAGCCAACATCAACCCCGATGGCAAGTTCCCCAGTCTTTTCGAGCCGGTGCATGGCAGTGCCCCGGATATCTATGGCAAGGGCATTGCCAACCCTATCGGCATGGTGTGGGCTGGCCAAATGCTTCTTCAGCACTACGGATACACAGATGCTGCCTCTTTGGTGCTCAAGGCGATTGAAAATGTGTTGGCCCGGTCTGAGGCATCAATCATGACCCCCGACCTGGGAGGAAAGGGTACAACGGATGGGTTTGGACAGGCCATCGAGGCGGAGATCATTGCTTTGGGTGAGAAGAAGTAGAACTGGGGACTTAGACTAGCGTTGATGCTGTTCAAGATACGGATAGATAATGCGGACTTACACTATTTCCAATGATTAATGTTTCTTGTCTCATGTATGATGCATCACTGGAACGTACTCTTGAAGGTATGTTTAGCCGATTAGTTGTGTGTAGCAACCTGCAGGACGACGGGACGATATGGACACGGACCGATCGAGAAGCGGAGAATTTGCTTTCGCAGTGCGGATAGTGAACAGAACCAAGGACTTTCATGGCTAGGCTCATGTAACTTGTGTATGAAATTGCTTGCTTCTTTGGTAACTAACGTCGATGGGCCACTTTCACTTTACGAAGTCACTGGTAATTGCGGTTGGAGTACTCCACGAAATCGTGACCGGTGAGGGGCACGCCCAACAAATGCCTGGAGAAGCAAGGATCAGGGGAAATTAGCAAGCACATTGCGTGGTTACAGGGGTCCGGCGGGTGCCACGCTAGATCCGGACGTATTCCCCGGAGCCCCTGTTTCCGCTCATCACAAGGGGCAAGGAGTTCATCCGCAGAGCATTGACAAAAAGGCGAGAGGGGTTTTGACGGTAAAAAGAAGACTGAAGCAAAACGTCGAGTTGGCTTGAGTTATCTCCTTAGGTGGTCGCCACTTCGACTGGACCTGGAGGGAGTCTTGGGAGCCACGGGGCCTGATGGAGAACGCGAAGAACGCGTCTGCCTCAACAGAGACCGAAATCCAATCCCTGTTAGCCAAGAGTACGGCTTCCTGCGCTCAAGGAAACGCTGCCGCTTTTGCCATCGCACACAGATTTGAGATCACACCACTGCAGCGTAGTGTGGCTCGCTAATGCGCCCATCTGGCACAGCAAGCCATAATCTTTGGTGCAGAAGCGAAATCTTCTGGTGCAGACAGCCCGTTGCTTCTTCTGTCAGAGTTTGTCTTGGTGTGTCACTCACATTCGAATAGACTTGCTCAAAACCATAAGCCTGCCCATCGTGCGCGACTGAGATAACCTACCTACCGCGTTCATTTCCACCGAATGGCACTCGAACTCCTCGCCTGTGATGGCATCCACGGATGCATTCGAATCGATTCCAGATGATCTAGCCGGCCTCCCCGCCGCGGGGCTTTCGGCCTTCATGGGACAGCCGCCTGCGACACGGCACGACTACTACATCATCAAAGGCCTTTTCCGTATGATTGGGATGAATGATGCCAACCCAATGACGGGTTACTTACTTGTAGCCAAACCTCCGGCGGACTACACATACGAGACGAGGCTACCGAGCATCCTGGCAGGCCTGATCTTTGTGATTCTGGCCATCGCAATTCCCACAGCCGGGAGGGTTGGACTGAGGTTGAAGAGAGGCTCGGCGATGCAATTCGGATGGGATGACTGGACAATAATCATTGCAGCAGTAAGTTGAAAGAAATCCAAGATGGCTGCTCGGCAGTGCTAACATAATTTGTTATCCGCTGTAGCTGGTTGCACTCGTCTATCCGATAGCCCAGATCACGTCACTCGTAGCAGGCGCGGCCGCCGTCCACACGTGGGAAGTCACGTACGAGCAGTATAACTTTGGCATGATCGTTGCTATGACTAGCAAGACGACATTCTACGTCGCTGTGGGCATAATCAAGCTATCAATTGCCATCTTCATTCGTCGAATGGCAGATCACATCAACCACTGGTGGCAGATTTCGTGGGACATTTTCATGGGCTCATTGGTTGCCTATGTGATGCTGGCAATTTTCTACAACGTGTTCGCCTGCAATCCGCCAGCAGTTCAATGGGACTTGGCCTTACGTGGAAGCCTCGAGCCTGCGCCCGTATGCATAGACTTGGGGGTACAGTCCAAGGTCCTAAGTGGCATCCATGTTGCTCAGGGACTCACGTTGCTGTTCACACCAATCATCATCTTGTGGAAAGTCCGGATGGGCGGGGCAAAGAAGATTCGCCTTTTCTTTATTTGGGCAGTTGGCGGCGTGACAGTCCTCGGCGGCCTTTTACGTCAGATCCGACCTACGATGACGAACGACTTTACTTGGGATTATGTTGAGGTCTTGGTG